TCGCGCTGAGAGAGAGAGAGAGAGAGAGGGAGGGAGGGAGGGAGGGAGAGAAAGAGAGAGGGGGGAGGGAGGGAGAGAGAAAGAGAGAGAGAGAGAAAGAGAGAGAGAAAGAGATTCATATAGATGACCAATCTATTGTGGAATTATATAATTTCGGGGCAGTTTGCAATAAATAACATTGGTGATTTATTGCAAGAATAAAAAGTAAATAACTAAAGAAATCTATACAAGATAATTAATAAAAAAATTACAAGTTTGAGTTAAGAGACAGACAATTTTCCATATTTTTTAGAGGTGATGCAAATAAACAATAATCCAATTTGTAAGAAATCGATTCTCAATTTATCACATTAGACGCAGGCGTGAATGATTTATCACTCTATATAATTTATAATAAGTTATAATTCTCTTAATTATCATTTACAATAAAGATTATATTTCTATTTATTACTTGATAAACAATTCCTACTTAAATATCGTGATATTTAAATGTTAATATTTTTTTATATTTTTCTAATTAGATTTATATTTTTTTCAATTTTCGACCAAATGCTTCACTTTCCTGTAAAATAACACGAATTTCGTATCAATGCTAAATAATGCGAAGTACATTATTCAAATTAAGTTTTTATTTATTTTGACAATTGTATCACAAGTGGACTCGCTGTCCAAATGATTTTCGGACCACTTTATGTTTTCCATTGTGCACTTGTTGCATAGGAAAGTGCCATTCGCGAAAATCAACGTGCGATGTTATCCCAAACGTGTTGAAAATGATTTTGAAACGGTCATCTCGCGCTCGACTACGCTCGCCAGAGATAAAGTTTTATATCACTGTCGGCCGGCATGGGCATTACGAAATGCAGGGTTGCGCAGAAAAGCTGTTTAACCGCGAAACAGTATTGCCAGTAAAACTCTTTTCCTCGCGATTTTCCATGTCAGTTCCTTTTTCTCTTAGCTATCGAAGTGTTCTCCACGATAAAGCGTGATCTTGTCGATCCCATTCAGGAGCCGTTTCTCTTACCGTGAGAAACTCCACGAAAGCTAAGCACTTTCAGGTGTCCATCCGCTTCGAAAGTCACAGCTTCAGAGATAATCTCTCCCGCTCATACGAGATCCAACAGAAATCACTATGACTACATTATCAACTACATGTTCAAGTACAGTCACGCGTTCTTATCTCCTCGCCGCTTTGAGAACTTATCCATGTATTGGACTTACCGAGTATTCATACTCGAATTCACTGAGAATTACAATTTCAGCATTATCTTATCAAAGCACTATATACGTAGTTACATAGTTGTATATTGCGATTTTCTCTTGCTAAACTCCTCTTCATCCCCATAAATCTTGATGGGAATAATTTTAATCGATCTTTACGGATCTTTCAGTCTCGGAGAAAATTTAGTTTTGAACTTTAACGACGTTTCCTCTTTTCTTTGCGTCTGCACGGCTCGAAAAATACGAGACGGTTTTATTTCGCCACCGGTGATCCTTGTTTCTATGCGGGTTTCATTCGCTCTCCTTTTGTCCATACCGCGAGCGCTCGCACTAAAGCGGAACGCCGAAATAAATGGTTGGGGAATTATTCACTTTACGAATCTCGGTGAGTGGTTGTAGGGAGTGAGACCAAGATAAGATACGACTTCATTTCCGCCTCGCGGCCACGTTACGCTCTACGAGCATCGTTCATTTCCTTCGTTCACGTCGGGGAATAACTGTACGATGTCAGGGCGCATCGAAGTTAATCTTTCAACATCTTGAGAGAAGACGCGATATCGAGTTCCTCAAGCGCGTCAACAAGAGTATTGCGGTTGAAGTATTGTATTATTAAAATTATTTTTGGTTATTCTTTTGACATTTATTGTTCACGATATTATATCGATAGAAATATTTAATATACAGGATGTCTGGAAAATTACCATAACATTACCACAAAATTACCATTTCATGAATACTTTAAGATCTTTAAAGTATCTGTAACGTTTCAAAGCAAATCAAGGTAAAATTTTTAACAAATTATGAATCTTTCTTTCTTATAGAGAAATTCCGAAATTGTTTTATTTTACTGAGAGGAAAAAGTACCTATCCTACCGGTGCGACACACATTGCACCGCATGCGGTGCGATCCAGCAGAAGTTTTGTAAATTGGTCGCTTTGCTGAAACAAGGAGAATGTAGCGCAAGCGATGAATTTTAAGATAGGATACGTTGCACGTCCAGAGGCAAATCTAACCGAATTTATTCAAATCCCTATCGTTTCACCCTTCTAGCCGTAGGGCGGCAGCAATAAGTCACCGTCGCAGATCGTTTCTATGAATAATGCAATTTACGAGAAACTTTTTCCGCAGAACGAATAATATAGCGCGATGCAGAGGACAAGCATAAATATATTTCGTCAACCCTTTCATATGTCAAGTTGAAAATAATACTTTAAATATCTATGTAAATATGCTCTTGAAAGAAGAGTAGCAAAAAAGATGTTTTATTTCATTTTTAACTACCATTGTTAAAATATATTTTGTAAAAGAATTTTTCAAAATTTTTTGCAACTTTTTCATCTATATGTACAAATTATGTAATCATGCTGGATTTTCCTTTTTGAAGACTGTTATAATAGTTTTTTAATCATAAGTGGTTCAAATCTGTACATTTTCACTAATTAAACTCTATAAATGCAAATAGATAAGAATATAAATCTTACTTCTTACTTTATTCTAATTGTACTTTAACAGAATTTTAATTAAAGGTTTAGAAGAGCACCGTAATCGCGAGATACTTCTTGGGACAGTTTCGGCGCTCTCGTCGCCGGAAGGATAAGCGAAGCAAACGGGTTATCAGCGGAAAATAGGACGCAAGAGGGAAGATTCACCCCCATCGGATGTATCTCATAGTTGACACAGTTTCCTAACGGCGGTGCAGTTTGCCGATCGATACCAACACATCCACGTCGCGACTTTGTCTAAGATCACCGCAGTAAGCGGTACACGCCAACACGATGTTTCAATCTTAATAGGCCATTCTCGGTGCGCAGTCATACACGGTGCACCACGTGCTACACGATTGATGTTTGAACTCGTCGTTAATGTGATGATAATATCGATTGTGAACAACGGGAAGCTCTTCTGAGATTGTCTTGACTCTAATAGAGATCTACGCGCTGTTGCAAACGAGAGCGATTGATCGGGATCATTTCTGTTGTACGGAATAAATTGAAAACAATTAGAGAAAACAATTAAGAGAAATGTGACTCTAAATTTCTTTTAAAATGTTCATATTGGAATAGAATAACCCTACAAAGATTAATAAGCTCTTCGATATATCTTCTCTTTTCGCTATAATGTTAAATATCTTATAAATATATAATAATTTCAGCTTCTTGGGAAGCTTGTGGCTTACGAATGCATTCCATTTCTTTAAATTTGATACATAAATTTTGATGAAGCAAAAGAATCCCGGATATTTTGTGGATTCCGAAATTCATGTACTCTAATATAAATCGCTTCTGACTTCAACTCACAAAATAAATCCTCTTAGCAAGACGAGAGCCAGCTTAAAACGCGGAATTTTTATTTGTAATATCGTTGCTTCCGTTTCAACGTGAATTTATCTTTTGAAAGTACAATAAAAAAAAAAGCAAAAATAACGATATGCCCGCGAAATTGGCAAATTAAATTTCTTTGAGAGCATCACAGATTATACCAAGTAAGACACAAGTCAGTAAGTCGTTGTATGACAAACGAGAAATGTTGGAATATCAATAGAGACCATGGAGGCTTAATTTTTCGCTATCTTGCAGCCTTGGAAAAGAAATATAAAAGAATAAGAATGGAACTGAGACTCACCGATACTCTGATCCTTCGCTCAGCTGTCTAACCGTAATGGGAAATTCGCTAGGTCCGTGCGCTTTCAGAAGTTCCTGCAATCGCACAAGCCCTTCGTTGTTCTCGTAGATAATGGTGAAACTCTTCCAGCCCCAGGCCTTGACCAGATCGACGTACGCCTGGAACATGGATAATCAATCACAAACTATGTTATTATTACAGTCGGGTTAACAGCTGCCGGCTTAACGCTTTTACACGTCTTTCCTATACGATATAATTTATATCTCTTGGACTCTCTAGGTCGATTGTGATAATATGCCATCACACGAAGGCAACAAGTGCAATGAATTAATCTTTCATTAAAGAGTATAACACGTATAATATAATGAGTATTATTTATGTAAAATATATCTCAAGTTATATAGGAACGTATACATATAATGTAATTGTATTATGCTATTGTGCGTGTTGAAATGAAAATTTTAAAAAATGTTGGAGTGTGAAACCTGAACGTTAATAATTACTTGTGACTTTTTATCTCGTGCAATACATATACATATAGACCATTAATATAAATATCTTTATTTCTTGATATAATAACACTACTTAAATAGTTAGACACATAAACAAATAGAAAGATTATACAAAAAATAATTCCATCGCGATATATATTACTAAATTAATTATCGTGCAAGTTAATTGTTATGTGATTATTATTATTGTTTAAATTATTTAAAAAAGAGTTTATTGCATTTCGTGCCAGAATTTATTGCGTTCGTGCTGATCAAATATTCAACATCTGTTGTCATAACATAAGAGGAAGCTTAAAATATAAAACAAAATTTTACAAAAGAGATTAAAAGTCGGAATACTATCAAATTTTTAAACCTAAAAGTTCAAGTGTGCTTTTATACATTTTAAAATTAAAAAGAGTAACTGACATTGTTGTGCCAAAAATTTTTATACAGTCATCGGTATTTATTAAATGCATAAAGTGTCGATATATGTGCATTTACGAAGCGGCAGCATGAAAAAAAAATGTAGATTTGTAAATGTGGAAATTGTGCGTGTTGTGATTCACAGTTAGTAATAAATTGCATACTGGAACGAAATACAACGGGACGTTGCAAAAAATTCATGAACGGACATTCATATTTTGCGTTTCGAATTCCGTTAAAATTTCGAATTCTCACAGTATTTGAATGTTGACAATATGTTGCCGATGACATCGCCGGTTTGTAAATCACAACTGAGTCGGACGCAAACTCCATAGACATTACTTATTATCGCGGACATAGAATATCGTAAAATACTATAGTTATCCGCCGTTACATTTTCTACCGTTTTTCTGCAGAGAAAAACTGTATATCAGAGTAAATTGTTCGTTAGAGATCATATTATATTCTCAAAAGCACAGTTATTTGTCCCAATGGTGATCTCTAAAATCACTTTCACATCTTATTATAGGTTCTCTATTAACCTTTCCTTCAATCATTATTCTGAATGCCAAATTTGTAATTCATCAATTATATAATATTGACTTGTTAAAAACAACTGTTAGTGTTACTATCATCCAGCTAGAGAAATCTTATTTAAGTGCCTTTAACAATACAATTTATTTGTAAAGTATTTTAATGATTTTAATATTTTTTAAGAAAAAATTTTTATCATATACATATTACATTGTACATGATGAAATTAAAGTTCATAAAGTATAACTATATTTCCGTTTTAAAATAAGCATTTTCTGCTGCGCATTTTCTACAATATATTATATTATAATGCGACGGAATAGCTCTTATGAGAGTAGCTCGTAAGAGACTAGTTTTGCAGCGAGTAGCTCGTCTACAGTCCAAGCTTTTAACTGGGAAAACAAGTATCACACAGTCGCGACGGTCTTCAATGAACGAATCAAAGACGGGCTGGAGATACTTTCGCGAGAATTCACTTCGCAGCCGCACTTTTTCCGATAATCTAAAATCACCACGAAATGAATGTATGTTTTCCAACAAGAAACTTCCGTTAGTCCCGCATACTATCGTAATATCGTCTGTATGTATATTTTACTTCATTCTTTTTTGCAAACACGCGAATTTCAAGACTTTTTTAAGACTTAATATTACTGGCCATTTTAAGATTTCCTTCGTCGCATTTTTGATGAAACAACCAAATATTTAACTGCATGATACTCAAAATTTTAAGCTAAATTTTTATTGGAACTACAATACGTTATATTACATGTTCTAGACTGCCGCCTTAATTTTTATTTTGCCAACACAGATAAAGTCATTTTGTGAATTTTTTAAATTGAGTTCTGCACATTTAATTTCTTAAAATTACTTTTTTATTACAAAATTTATTTTAAATTATGAACATCTTGCCATTCATATTCTCTTTTTTTAATTTCTTAGAAAATATTTTAACAGAAAATTTTGCTTTGTTCCTTATCTTTTACAAAATAAAAATAATGTTTCTACTAACTTCTTCAAAGAATATAAATCAGCCGGTTAAATCATAATCTTTCTTATTTTAAAAATTACATATGTAGAAAATTTCTCACCCATAAAATAAACTTTAGAATGTGATAGATCTCACTAAAAGAATCAACTTTTGTTAAAGAATCTTCATTTTTAAGGAATTACATATCCGATTGTATGTGTTATCTGACAATACTGTTTTTGCAAAATAATAAAAAACAGACATGGAAATTAGTCCTTGTTAGACGTTACGCTGCAACGTCTATGCTACCACGCAATCGATTGTATAAGCTCCTTAATAAAAGTCTTTTGGTGAGTTCTGTTATATTTGCTTTGAACTTTATCATGAATCTTGAAATACGCTGCATATTATTATTTTGTAATTATACAGCCTTTAGAAAGCCTTTCTGGATATAGTATACTCGGTTGTTTTAAACACAAGGTAGTCTATTTTGAAACTCTTTCATGTCTTTTGTTTTACTTTATTATTTGTAACTCTTTTTATTAATAATTAATATTAACAATTTGTTTTTACTATAATCGTATTACTGAATGTTTGCTGCATTAAATAAAAAAATATGCAATAAATATTAATTTTTACAGAAGTTATACATAGGGAATAAACGATTTTGTTGAAGTATCTAAAAATTTAGCTAGATATAGATCTAAAAATAATTTTGTTTGGACCATCAAAATAATTATGTAGGACGCTTAAATTGGTTTTTAGAATATTAAAATTTTTGCAGCATTGTCAGCAACGCTTAAGCGTTCTACATAATTATTTTGATGGCCTAATAAAATTATTTTTAGATATGTATCTAGCTAAATTTTTAGATATTTCAGCAAAACCGTTTTTTCCGTATAAAAAGATAAAGTTGATTTAGGATGGTGTCATATCAGATGTAGCCATTATAAAACTATGACAGGATTAATATTTATATGTATTTAATGTATATTATACATCTCAGTGTCATATGAAAATAGCCCAAAAATAAAAAACCAAATTTTCAGATATTCAAAATATAGCAAACAATATTACTTACTATTACTTTTGATATTTTTATAATTGCAGTTAATATCTTTTTATATGAGGGACTTCTAAGTATAAATAACGGACACTTGTAAGTTTGTAATTTTCTATTCTTATGTATTTTAGATTTTGTATTTTATATATATAT